GATCACTTGGGTTGTTACCAACATCTGGTGAAAATTTCATGTCATTAGCACCTCTAGTAATATATTTACTGAGAAAAATGGTGATGTGTTTAATACTTATTTTACCCGCTGTATATACATACATTTGCACGTAGATACTTGCTACTTGCATGTTTTATTTGGCCATGTGGTTGTTTATTTGGTTGTTAATGTGTTTCTTTCTGGCAGATGTGGCATCAGGACTACAGGAATTTCCGAGAAACGACCATCTTCATGGTGATTGGTCTGGAGCTCTTCCAGAAGGCAAAGTATGTTGACACAGTTCCATATGGCCTCCTAAAGTTTACCAATGAAAAAACAAATGAACTCAGTCCCCCCACCATTTCTAAAAGTCAAATTTTCCAATCCAGCTCATCCTGCAGGGGTCCCTAGCAAACCGTGAGTGCAGCTGCTCATAGAGTTGTGCAGTGGGACCACTGAGTTCTTTTGTTCTTTGCAATGGTTTACTCTCTAAAGTTCTCTGTTTATCTTTGATACTGTTTTATCTGATTGAAATATGTGTTTATCTCTTCCCTTCCAGTTATGTGGAGGCCCTGATATATCTTATTTACGCATACCAGTACAACAAGGAGCTTTTGTTAAAAGGGATGTACAGAGGACACAGCGAGAAGCTTCTTGGTTTTTACCGCAGAGAGTGTTTGCTGGTGAGCAATTTTAGATTTTTTTTAAGAGAAGGTAATGTTTAATCCAGTGTGACAGATTTATCAAATCAAATCAAGTGTTTCAAAAAGAGCATTATCTGTTTTAAAATTGGTATCTTTCTGTTCAGTTGTCCTTCTTTGTCACTCCAGTTCCTTTATATCAAACTTCCTTTACTATAGTGACTCAGCAAACCTTAACAAGAACAGACATTTCCCTTCAGTGCTGATCTTGGTTCTGATTGCTTTTTCTGAGATACTGTTTTAGCAGGTTTGCAGACCCAAAAATAAATCAGTCCAATGATTTTTTTTCCTGATACTTACTGATAAAAATCCTTTCAGCAATATGGTTTGAGCCTCTTTTTATTTTTCCTCCACAAACCTGGCTCTGCTCTGGTCTTATTGGTYAGGCCTGGGGGTGCTGGCCTTGAGCAGCACATTCATCACTGCACTCAGCAACCGTACACCAGCCTTATGAGCCTAATGTGGTAGTTGCAGTTATGTCTGTCGCGAAAGTCAATAAATCAATTAATTGCACGATAAGTTATTTTGAGGTCGGTAAAAAAAATGAGGACGATAAGTTTCATTTTCCTGCTTGTTTGTTTACTTCGTCTCCCTCTCTGTGCTTCACTACAC